ACCAAAAAAACAGCTACCGTTAACGCTGCACAGCACCGTCGCCCGGGTCAGTCAGCACGACAAATCCTGCTCACCACGCCCGCCCGCCATGCCCATAGCCGTAGGCAGTCGCCGCTCTACTCTACGTACGCGCACCGAGCCATCCAGGCTGCGCCCCGCACGAGCCAATCAGCACCGGCAGCCGCTCTCCGGCGATATAATCTCGACGATGCATCCATAAAAGGCAGCTCCGCGCATCTCGGTTCGCCACCTCCGATTTAGCACATCTCGCCCACCATCTGGGCGTCCCGCGAGCGCGCCTGTGCTTTCCCACCCGAAATTGAATCGCCTCCGCCAATCGCAGCCCGCCCCGGCCATCCCGGCCCCGCCGCCCGCCTCGTTCGGCGGCCAGAGCAGCCACAAATTGGTGGCCCGGTACTATGTGGTATCACGCGTAGGCTCCTCCGCTCATGACGAGCTGATAGATTGCGGGGGCGTTCCCCTGTAGTAGTAGCGTCGCGTCGCTAATGCCTGCGCACGACGTCGTGGGCGCGGGTCTTGCCGGATTGGACGGACGGCCGCGGGAGGCGCAGGAGCGGTGCGGCGGGCTGGTGGGGGACGCGACCGCGGCGGGCAGGTCTGACGCCTCGGACGACCCGGCGGCCGTGCCGACCGCGAGCAGCTGGCGATCCCGACGCAACCGCGATCTTGGCGACGCCGGCGCGCGGAGGGCGATCTCGCCCGCGCATGCGCGTTGACGTACCGCAGACGATGCTGTCGCGGTCGAGTACGTACGCCGCAGCCGCTGCCAACTCGAGTCTGAGCGTGATGGGATCCGGACGCGCCCAGGCGCCCGCGCAGGGCGACGTCGGCATGGACGAAATGGGGAAGGGCAGCGCCTATCGTGGGCGGCTAGCTCGACGTCGCTTCGCGTTCGCGCGCCGTTGGTTCGAGATCCCAGCGGCGGGAGCCTCTGATGCTGCTGGGCACGAGCGAATCAGCGGGGGCTGTTATGGTTTTCGCGGTGCGCCAGCTCTCCTATGCTCTCAGCCAATGATGGCCTTAGGCTGTCCTGCAGGGCACGCCAACTCCACGCGAGGCGCATACGCAACAGGAGCGAACTTATCCGTGCTGATAGCACTCGGTGTCACCGAGCAGGGACGCGTGATGCGGTTGGCCAGTGATTCCGTCCACTGCTCGCCACATCTGGCCCATCTGGTGCGTGCCGTCTGCCAGCCCATTGTCAAAGGCTAAACTGGCATCTGACTGACGTCGCTCCTGGTCTTGCGCACGACAGCACATACAGCCCGAGGCCCCGCCCTTCGCCAACAAACAGATCCTTCATCCCATTCGCAAATTCAGGTCGCCCGCGCGCGCATTGAGCACGGAATCCCACATAAGGCCCGCGCAACTGGCTCCGACGTGTTCTCGTCTTTGATTAATTGCAGGACGCGTCGACGGTTTCTGACCAGCGAAACAGGGCATGCCGGCCCTTCTCGCCCTGCTACACATCACCTATGACACTGCTGCGCCATCCGACGAATTCGTGGTGGATGCAGATAGGGCGCGTCCTGCCTGGAAAGACCGTTTCAGACCCACGCTACCGTTCTTAGCAGGGACGCGCCCTCCTTGGGCTCTCTGGCCGCCCATTGGTCCTCCCTTGACAGCCAATCACCAGGCCTATTCCCGGGAACCAATCCGCTACTGATGACGCAACCGCCCGTCCGCTCTAAATGAAATTCAGGACGGCGAGCACGCGGGCGCACCCAGCCAATCCGGACGGACACAGCGCAGACGCTCGGTGCCGCGCTGATCGATGGGCCCGGGCAGACGGAGCAGCGATTGGGTTGGCCGTCGCGGGACGTGCTGTCATTGGGCGCTGCCCGAAAGGGCAATGCGCCTCCCATCTCTGGCTCGGATGCTGTCTGCGCCACAAGCGCGATCGACGAGTGCGAAGGCCGAATCTAGCCCGAAGCCACATCACCCGCCGCCGCAATCGTCGCGCCGACGTCTGTGCCAGCCCACGAGGAGGGCCGACGGGGGCAACGCGAGAGCCGCGTGGCTCGCTGCCAGTGACGGCGCGCGGGAGCGGCGGGAGACGCCGGGGCTTCGATGCGAGCTGTCTCTGCGTCAGAACTGGCCAAGGCTGGGGTGCCGCGGCGAGTCAATCGCGGCGCAGGCGGGGAACGCGAACGCGAACAAGGTGCGGGAGAAGGCCCAGACGCGCGGATTCCGCCTCGAAGACGAAGCCGCGTCGACGTCGACGTCAACCCGAAGCCCAGAGGCTGGGACTACTCTGACGGGTGATGCGGATGCGGAGCCATCAGACCTCCCACCGGCCGTCGCCGCCCACGCTCGCCGGGTATCCGCCACAAAGCCCGGTCACGCGAGATCGAGAGCCAGAGGCATTGAAGCCCATATCCGGAGACGGGATCCTCGCTGTCGCTGCCCGTTATGGCCCGGCGCTCGCCGTGGACGCGCCCGACCTGCGAGCCTCGTGTATATGGATCACCCGCGGGCGGACGAACTGAGCAACTTGAGCGTGAACGGCGGCCGCCCCTCGGGTTACGGCCACTGACCCCGCGCGCATCTTGGCTTCGATCTCGGGCTTGGCCAGGCGGTGGCAGCGACGACACGGCGCGGACCGGTGTCGGCACTCTGTCTACGGCTGCATGCCGCAGAAACTCGCGGGATCTATCGGGATGCTGGAGTACGGTCTGCGTCTATCGAGGAAGCGCTGCGTCGGCACCGCGGCTCGCGAGCGCTCGCTCGAATGTTCACAAACGGTTCTATTTTTGTTTCGCCGTTTGTCCAGGATGTGCCCATCGACGAACAGCTGCATGAGAAGCAGTCGGACAGGAGGAGCCTCCGCGACGTAGCAGGAATGGAGCTCACCTCACATCTTCGAGGGTGGCAGTGATAATCTAGTGGCGCGCGGACTCGGAGTAGGTAGTACTGGCGAGGGAGCAAGCACAATGCGCACGACACAGCCACCGCCCGGGCTCCCAAAGCACTGCGTAGCGACCGTCGTTCGCTGGGTTTGTGCACGGCGCGCTGGCCGGAAAGGGAAGTCCACGCTCGGGCCGCGAGCTTGGGAGCACAGGTTGGGAGCGGCGCGCGGAGGCGCGGTGGCTGTGCACGCAAGGTCGGGGCCGCTACTCACCGCCACGGCTCGCGGAGTGGACGGACCTGCGTCGGTGCATCGCCTCTCGTGCTATAGACCCCTCTGACGCGTGGACAGCGGCCGCCTGCAGGACACTGCGTGCTGGCGTTGCTCTCGAGTTGTCGGACGGGAGGAGCGGCCGTGGCGTGCCAATGTACGTGCGCATCGCCCTCCGCATGACGATGACGGGCTCGTGCACTGGCATCTTGCCAGTGCGTCGCCGTGCTTCGCGGAAAAATCTTATGGGGCCTGAACATGGATGCGGACGCCACATCCTGAGTGCAGTTGGCAGATACGCTCGGGGAGGACGGACGGCCGTGACGTAGGTCCAAGTTCGCTCGCGGACACCCGTGCTCAACGTACTGCCACCTCCACCTCTATCTCTGCAGGCACATTGGTTAGACGAGGCTCGACCCAGCCGCGATGACGCGAGCTCCGAGGGGACCCCTCCAAAACTGCGTGCCGTCCTTCAAGTCCGTCCGAGAAGGCCTCTCTCTGCATGCACGCTTGCACAGCTCGGTATGTCATCGCTGCTCAGGCTCGCCCGCCGGCCCGATTCCGCGGGCGACGCACCAGACACCTCACACAGACACAAGATGATACTCCGCGGCACCCGCACGCCCAGAAAATGTCGCGGGCTCCTGCACGACTGAATAGGCCGGCGCTGGGCACTGATCCCCAGCGCGCGATAGTCGCCGCCTGTCTGTCTGCCGCATCTCCGGACCCGGATCCCCTGGAGTGCATGGGACAGGGACAGCACCGCGGCAGGCTGATCCCCGGCGAGGCTACCAACTCGCCGTGCGCCCGGGGTGCTCCGTCCCCGTCTGACGAACAACCGAACAGGCGAGGGGGAATGCAGAGGGCTGCGGGTGGCAGACTGGCACGGGCATGCGTTGGGAGATGCCGTGAGGGTACAGGCTCCGCCGCTATACTGCTTCAAGTGCCTGCAGCCCCCGCGGACTCGCGCTGTCTCGTTGGGTCCGCCCCGGATCCCAGAACGAGGCTAACGCGGATGGATCCGCTGACAGGGACCCCGTTGCGGGCTGTCGACTTGGAGGTGCCGTTGGTTCCGTAACGACGCCGCTGGCGCTGACACACTTGGCACGATGTTACGGGGACAGGTGGCTCGGCTCAGACTTGACTTGGGATGGGTGGCAGGTCGGCCGAGACGCGGAGGCTATCTCCCCTGGCCCATCTGCCAACTTGGACGACGGCCGTGCGCGCGGGAGACACGCTGTGTCGCGCCACTCGCGGTCAGACCACACGCACGTCTGTGCATCGACGACTCGGGAGATCTGGGCCGTCCGAGCTGAGGACGTGCCCTCAGCACGGATCTGTACGATGCCGGTGCGTGCGCTGCTGTGTTCTGGACGCGGGGAGTCTGTCGATGAAGTACCAGTGCCGGTGGGCGCACCCGTATGCCATCGCACCTCTGTCTGCTCACTCTGAACGCGGACGTGGACGAGGGAGTGTACAAGCTTCACGGATGTGTGGAGCCGTGGCAGCAGCCCTGCAGATGGCCATGACCGCAGTCTGTCCAGTCTCGCGCGCTCGGGACAGACGTAGTAGTGCATGCATGGCTCATTCGGCACCAGCTGTCAGGCTGTCGCTTGAGTGCACCAACGGCTCGGCGCTCCAGGAATAATACTGTATCACTCTCAGGTTGTCTGTCGCGCAGAGCAGGAACATATCGTTTCCGCGAGGGCATCGCCGACACGTTTGCGCACGGACTCGTTGAACGGCAGTTTCGAGACACCAGCGATTTCGTTCATTCGTTCCTAGGTACGACATCAAAGTATGCTAGTACTAGTACGTCCCCTTCCAGCGCGCCGAAACCAAACCGTACCAACCGCTCCCCTGCCCATTCAAGTCCACCCCTCCTACTACTACTTAGCTCGCTGCGTCGAACCCTCACCCCCCTCACCCTCGCCCGGCCCGCCGCGCTCCTGAGTCCGAGTCCATCCCGCCCGGACCCCCCACCGACTGCCAGCAGTCACGCAGATCGTCAAACTCGAAGTTCTCAGATCAGCCTACCTATCGCACGGACGCGGATACACAAATAGACAGAGACACAGACACACAGACACAGAAGGGGTGCGTTCTCCGAACGCATCGGCCAGGCGGTGGCTGCGGCGCGGATCAGCAGCGCCCGCTGCCACCCCTCAACGTTTAGCTTCAGCCATATTTGCGGCTTCAGAGCGTCCTCCCTCGGCCGCGATTGAGACGACGCGCGGTTTCCACTGGGGACCGGGCTGCGCGCGTGTTTCCAGGTAGAAGTCCGGACGGCGAGGTCCAGAATCCGAAATGGGCGAGACGAGACGGTGTAGCGGGAGAACCTGGAGGGGGAGGAGCGCTTGCGGGCTGGGGATTTGCGATGCGGGATCTCTGTGCGGGCGGGCTGTCAGAGATTGGTTATCGAGTAATGCTGATGCTGACGGTAGGTTGGGAGGTAGGACTTAGGATGCGTGTGTTCAGCGCGACTTGACTTGTGTGGGGGCCTGCCGTCGCACCGCCCTGCGCGCCACGGGCCAGTCCGGCGGTGCCGATCCTCCACAGACGAGACGGCTCCCCTGGCAGGGATCTGGAACGAACCGCTCTTCGCCGCGGCGCGCGCAGACTGCAGCTCGGACGGCGCACCCGTTCTGCGTCCGTGCAATCTATCACTGGCTGACGAGCACCGTCGTCAGGAGCACTGCGAGAAGAGCCCGGGCTGGAGCGAGACACAGCGCCCACCACCTGCTCGTCGGCGCGGCTTCTCACGGGGGATGAACGGGTGTTCTTGGGCGCTGTGGATCGTGAGGAGGCTGCGAGTGAAGGTTCGAGTGGTTTGCTGATGCTGGGATCGGTACCAGTAGAGACGTAGCAGCGAGTTTTTTTCGTGGCCGCTTCTAGGCTGCGATCTATAGCGAGAGTGTCCGTCGACTGGATACATAGCCCAGCGGGGCCACACATACATGCGAACGCCTTGCGGTCCAGTGTACTCGTACCCGGCGGGCCAAGCAAGTGAGGATCGATGTGACGGAGTGGCTGCCGCAGCACCGATCGAGATCTGTGAGGCGCGCCACCGCCACCAGCGCACCGCGCCCGCCGCCACCGGTCTCCAAAGCGGCACAACGGTTCTCGCTACCGCGTCCGCCGCCATGTGGGTCCGCGCTCCAAGCGTTGCAGAGTGCATCCACGCCTCCACATGCCGCCATCAGCCAGCCTAGTGCTAGCCTAGTCTTATTGGCCCCGCGCAAATGGACGGTGCCCGCTGTGTCGGGTCGAGGGCCGGTCGCCGCGCTGGAGACGCAAGAACGAAGCATCAGAGCGTTCGGCGGTGGATTTCCTGTGGAGGGACGTGCATACGGCGTGGAGACGCGTAATAACGGGATCCGTCCAGGGGATCTCGGAGCTGCAGGGCGCTTCTTTGACGCTCAGAGGCTCGGGCGGTCGAGCGATCAGGCAGTTGTCTGTGCGCGGGCTGTTCCGGGAGCCTTCCATGCACGGTGCCAGACACGGAAAACAGATGGGGACGCCCATCGCCCATCCCAATCGGCATCGGGCACCCGCGTATCGAGCCCAGCGGGCCAGCCTGATCCATCGTCCGCGCTCTGGGCCCCGGCCACCCGTCCTCTCTTCTCCCTCCCATCACTCACTGCAACTGCACCCAGCCCGAACCTTCGGTCGCTCCATCAATCTCTCCGCCTGCCTGAACCGGCCTCGTCGAACTGATGCGCTGATGGAGTCTGTGCAGCGCGCGATTGTCCGCCTTCGGTGATGGCCACCGCGAGGGTTCCATCGTCACCTCTCGGTCAACGCGCTTGCCGTGTACCGGGACACCGATTGGAACGGCATGCAGATCGTAGGCCAGCGAAACCCGCGTACACCCATCGCGCACGCCAGTCTCCAAGCTCCAAGTTCCAAGGCCCGGCCAAACAGTTCACTGCGACCTCCTACCTCGGCCGCGCCAAGTACTGCACCCGCTCTGCGATACGGGTCTACGCACGCCTGCGGTGCATCGGATGCCAGGGAGCGCGCAGGTATGTCGTATGATGTCGCCGCGTCGACAGCAGTGCATCTCAGCCGACCTCTATTCGCTCTCCCCGCGATCCATTCTAGTTGCCTACCCAGCACGGGCCATCGCGCCCAGGCTCCACAGCAGCCGCCGCGCATCGTCCGTGACCAGATCAGCCAGAGCCCCTCGTGGTTACGACACGGCTTGCGCTACAGGATGCGCTTCGAGTCCGCGCAGGCTCACCGCCGGGCACCCTGGGTTCTGGGCTGATGCAGGTGGGTCATGGCACCCTGCGCTGGACACTGTTCGGGTCCCGCGGCGGGCGTAGCTGCGCACACTTCGAACTGGCTCCGGACGGCGCGTTTCATGTGCGTGGTCCCGTCCTGCGGTGTCGTCCCCCACGGCACTGCGACGTCGGGGTGACTGAACCATATGCAGTGAGTCGCCGCCGCCCACGTACGGATGGCGCGTGAATCCCGAGGCCGCAGACGCTCAATTACAGTGGACACCGCATGACTCGAGATTTGGGCGACTCGACGCCGAGGACGCTGCGAGCCAGAGGCGCGAGGCGCGAGCTTACGGGGCGTGTGGGCGGCCGTGGAGGGCTCGGACGCACACCCGCGCGCGCGCTGGGTGGCCGGACGCGCGACGAGACGGGCGCAGGGTCGAGGACGCCGCGGGCCTCGTTGGCCTGCCGCACGCAGACGCGGAACACCCATTCGATTTCCAGGACACGTCTCCGCGCGCACCCAGCAACGCATGCCCGCACACACGGGCCCAGCGCACCAATCCACCCGGACGCGCCCGTCTCCTGCCGACGCCGATTCCGCGGCTGCATCCCCCGAGACCCCACCGGCACTGGCCTGTCCTCCCATCTGTCTGCGCGCGCCCCGGCCCCAGCAGCCCCTGGCCCATCCGCGCTGGGTCGCAGGCCCGCACGCGGCAGCACTGCGTGCGCCCCTCCTCTCGCAAGGACGCCGGCGACGGGAAGCCAGCCCTCGCGTCCGAGTCTGGGCGTACGCACGCACTCGAGAAACCCGCCTGGACCCCGGCCGGCTCGCAGCGCGATTTCGAAGGGCCCCGTCGATTGAACGGGTGGCCGAACACGGACCCTGCGTTCGATCAGACTCTGCCAGTGCGTCCACGCTTGCCGTCGCGAGATGCGCGGTGCGGGCCTCCGCACGTTTGCCCGGGGCCGGGGCGCCCGTGCGTCGGTACGCTGGCTGCTCACCATCGACCATGTATTGAACTTCCGGGCGTGGACTGCCCAGGGCACTGACTACTGAGTCGCCGGCTCCCTTGCGCTGATGCGCGTCGGGCCGGCGAGTCGCGCGGCAGGGCGCGGACTCGGCCTTCCAGAACTGAGAAGGTGGCCCCGCTACGGACTTGGTTCGTTGGGGCCTGTTGTACGATATGTCTGAGCCGCTGGAGCCTGGCGGCGGGCGGACGCCCTGGGTTTGAAGCTCGAGCGGGCTCCCGCGGTTGGGAGCCTTCGAGCTTGTGGTTCAGGTTGTGACTTGGATGTGGACGCGAATTCGGACACAGCTCGATACTGCCCTGAAACTTCTTCGGAGCCCATCAGGGGCGTTCTAGGCATAGTGAGTCGCGCTCTGTTCTTACTACTGCTGCTATCTGAGAAAGTATATCGCCCAGGTGCCGGACGTGCAGCCTTGGAGCCACTGTCCTGTCCGAGTATTTGTTCCGCAGAGGGTCGTACATCTCGTCGTTATGCTTGCTGCGTTTTTCTGGCGAATCTGGGCAGAATGTCTCGATGCGTCGCGGGCCTGCGCGAAGTACGTCGCTGCAGATGCTGTGTCTACGTGCGGTCTCGTTGACGGCCCGGTGTGCTGGGCGGTCTCCCGCATAAGTCTTGTACAATTCAGGTCTAAGGCATGCCCCCCCTTTCGCAAACACTTCTGCGCGCCTCCAGCCCGTGCAGACTATTTGGCGAGCGTTCTGATGAGGCTCGCTACGCACGCCTTCCGCGAAGAACCGTTGCCGTTACTCACCACTGGCAAGATCAGCTGTGCAGGATCATTACGTATCTCGTACGTCGCCCTCACGAGTACCTCCGCGTTTCTGATGGGCCGTTCCCTTCGCTAGTGTCCTTCCTTGTCTTGTCTCCGAGTCGGTGGAATGTCGCGAGTCCGAGACGATCCCCGTCGGGCTGCGATTCTTCGCTCAGATGTGGCCTCGTTCCTCCGGCCGCCTTCCCGGGCTTCGTCAATTAAGACGCTATCATCGATTGCCTCTGGACGTTCTATGCCGACTGGAGGCGGATGGTGGCCCATCACGCGAGCTACTTCAGCCTATCCGGACGTGTGCATCATCTCGAGGACGTCCAGATCTGTTCCCGCGTGTTCGGCGACTCGGACGTCGCCCATGGAGAAGCGTGCGACTCTCAGGCATTCCCATCCTGTTGGGACACTGCTCTCGACTTTGACGAAGACCGCAGTGTCTGCATGGCGCTCGAGTCGACGTGGTGGCTTGCATGATGCGTCATGGGGCTCGCTGATCTGAACGGAGGGCCACTAGTGCACGGCCTTCGACGCAGCATCTCTGCATCTCGTCATCCGGATGGCCACCGGGCTAGTGGCGCACCACCCTATTCTAATCTCACAGGCATCTGTGTTTCCCACCAATATATGTAGACATTACCGAGAAGTGCAGCTTGGGGGCGTGGATTCCGGGCTAAGGAGAAGCGTGATGCGCCTTCTAGCCTCTTCTACGTAGCGGACGGCGAGTCCCTCGATCGGACAGATGCGTCCAGCCGGCGCAGTGGTGCGTCGTCCATGAGCTTTACTGACAGCAAGAATGATCCTAACCTGTTCTGGAACGCGCAGGTCGAAGGAGAGACGTTGACGAAACCTGCACTAGATTGAATCGTCAGGATCTCTTCAGCATGTCCACTCCGCCCTGAGGAAGACGCGATGGGCGAAGGGGCCCCGGCAGGCCACTCCGTGACAGCACGGAAATTCCACTGTTTCTTGCGCTGTACATCCCCGACTTCGACACGTCAACGTTTGTCGCCCGCCACATCCGGATTACCACCCGCTTATGCCAGCGGCATGACACAGAACCCTCTGTCGTTATTCTGATATTCACGCCCGGATAGGCGCACGACCCGTCTTGTCGTGGCATGCAATCGGCCAGCCAGCCGCGGCGCACGTCCCATCAAGAAGCGAGAACGCGGGAAGACGGATCTAGAAGCAGACGGGCGCGCTTCCTCCCTAATCTTAACCCCCCATCCGCTCGCTGAACTTGAACTGCGATCCAATCTCGAGAAGCACGATGCGCGATTCGACTGCGATGGTGCGTGGCGCGTACGCGCCCGCCCTTAGGAGGCGACTCGGGAGGGGATGGGAGCGGCCCAGTAGGGTATTCCCCGGAGATTCACCTCGACTCGGAGGCTTTCCCATCTCGGACGCGCGAGGTTCTCTAGGCTGAGCTGCTGCGCCCATGTTCAGAAAACGAAGAGAGGAAGCCGAAGGCTGGTGCTTCGAGACTTCGAACTACTTTGCCAGGCGAACCTCACGCTTCACCTCGCGCGGTGAGGTGATCCATCCGCACTCCTGGCACGCCCCGTCTTCCACTGCCATTTACCCTAGCTCTTCTCACTCGAAAAGACATCCGAGAACTCTCATCTGAACCTGAACTCAAATCCGCGCACGCAAACCTACTTCCGCAGGTCACGTCCAGTCTCCCGTCCCTCCGATAGGCTCCGAATTGACATATTCTGCCGGCGCGGGAGCCCTCAGGCTCCCCGTGCCGTCGTTGCACTGGACGTCCGCGGCCTTGGGCCCACGCCCACGTCAATATACACGTAGGTTATGTTCGCGGGTTTCTAGAGTGGTGTTCGATGACGCGGCATAGGCAATGTATCACAGGAACCTCCACGAATCCACTTCGCTCGTGTTCCGGCTCTGTTGGGTGCCGGGACGTGCGTGCGTCCGAGGGAAGGATGGTTTCGTCGCCTGCGTGCCCAGGCGCTGCGTTCGTGGGTCGGGCTCTTTGGGTGACGGACGGCCTTCGCATTGGCCGGCTGGTCCACGTTGGGACGACCGATTGAGGTTTGGCTGTCTTGACGGATTCCGTGAGGATGTCTCAACTGATGTGGTATCCTTATTGACTTAGGGCCGTGGGTCGTGCTACATTGCAGGTGTTATCCTCGACAATACCAACCACCCTATTCAGTTCTGAGTACCACCTCGCGCTTCTAATGCGGACGTATATCGCCTCCTCCGAGCCAAGGATGTCGTTATCAGATAAACCCTCGGGCTCGCAGCCATTTCACACACGTCCTCCGTCTATCTACAGGTTGCCTCGCTGACGTGGGCCCAGGCCTCACGCCGACTAGCTACGGACCACGGAACGCACCCCGCACGTCTCACTGCATGCCCGCAGATTGCGTGCACGAGGCCTGCAGTCTGAGGGGCGGCACGTCCAGAATCCAGATGCGCGATTCGGACGATCGCGCGAGATGCAGGATCCATGGGAGCCTATATGTACTTGTATGTCAGGCTCGTCTCACCCGCGGGGAGGCGCGGACCATGGGCCGCACGCATGCCTGGCCTGTTTGAGTTCCTCCGAGGACGACGCGCGGGGCATGGCTGCGCTCAAGACGTGACTTGCTGACTGCACCGACTGTGCATTGCACGCGCGTGCGCTATTTAGGTCGCTGACGTCCTTCTGCGTATCTGGGATGGTAGAGAGGTCAGCATCTCGAGATGCGCAGCTTGCCGCACGGAAATAGATGCGCGGAATGCCTTGCGCTCAGGGCAGCAGACGGCGATTCACTGCTGAGTTACTGTGTGTAGAATGCGCCGTTGGGAGACTTGTCCGGAGTCTTCGGCGAGTTCCTTTCAACCAATAAGATGGGTAGCCAGGACCCACCCATGTTGAACTTCCGACTTTCCAGTGTTATCTTATCTTATCAGTTACGTACATATATGGACTTGTGTTCTGCGATGTAGTATTACATACATTCTTTTGATGGACTCTGTCTGGACTCATCTTGTGACTCGCTCCAGACCGATCTACACTGTTCCAGACTTATTCTGGATCATTCCACTCCCTTCCGGCATGTTCCATGACCTTCCAGTACATTCCTTGATCACATGGACGCTTATGCATATCCCTATCTCTGGAGTTAAGGCTTACTCATTTCCCTAAAACTCGGACTTAGTGATTACTGATCTGCTTACTGATGTAGCATGTGATCAGTCCCAGACATGTATATATACTAGGGTGATTCCCCCCTAATGGATAACGATCTCTCCTCTCTTCTGCCTGCCTAGCATCAGAGTCTTCCCTCTGGGATAGGTCTATTCACTCCACTCTACTGTCCTTCACTTCCACTGGCCTAACAAGCCCTTCTAAACCTCTTTCACTTCAACAGGTTATGAGCCCCGCGCTCTGATCGTTTATATCACCTGTACCTTTTGCGCAACCAAAGCCCAACTCTTGAAAGAGTGAGTTGGCATATTTTGTCCTTATTTGGACTACTGTTTAGCCGCTCTGTGACAAGTGCCCAAAGCCTTGTCCAAGCGCATTTCCAGGGTAGCTCGCAAGAGCAATTACGAAGTTTTTCCACCGTCTCGTCGTGAGAGATACGACGTAGGCGACGCCGACACTAGCGCTGTTGCTGAGCGTCATCAGCGTTTATACGGTCATCTACCCATCGATCGCCAGATCGATATCATCCTCACTCCTACCCCGCGCCCTCGCCGTCCCACCTATCGTCGCCCTGACACCTCTCGTCCCCCGAAGGCGTCCTGTCGCAAGACCCTTGAGCAGCAGCTTGAGGAGCTCCAGTTGAAGGCAGACGACTCTAGGGCACTCCTTGAAGCTCGACGTGCGGAGTACGCTGCTACGCTTGCCGCTGAAACCGCCGCCAAAGAAGCTGCCAAGGCTTCCCTTATCGCACGCATCGAAGGCGTACCTCTTCCCCTTCCTATCACAGCCCTTAAGCCGTTTGACGCCGACTTCAAGAAGAAGTCTCAGACGGAGAAGGCCGCCATCCTCACGAAGCGTCTCTTCGCCGTTCAGAAGCGCCTTCACCCTCTCTTCACCCACAAGCTGCGCGACACTGTTCGCTGGTCACTCACCGACAACCTCAACGCTTTTGGACGTCGGTTCAATTGGGTCTGTTCTCACTTTGAGACAGAGGGTCATTCGTGGTCGCACGACGCGCTCAACGACGTCAAGCTTGTCTGCGAGCTGATTGGGAAGATCTCCTTCAAGGAGCTTAGCAAGAACCTTTCTAAGGTTACTAGGGAAGTTGGGGACTTGCACAAGGGCAATCACTTGGCTTGGGTAGACAAGTATTTGTAGTCGCGTCACAAATTTTATCTTTGTTCCTGGAATATTTTTCAGTGAAGCATCACAACTGTGGCAACGTCTCAAGAGGAGACAT